TATATGTACCAAACATCTCTTAGAACTCGTTCATAGGCATGCCATTTTAATGAGTTTTGAAGGCGTCGAAATACCGAACACCGAATACGGGACAAATACAGGACATTAAAAGAAATACAGAACATTTGACGTCCCGTATAAAATAAATAAATTACCAGGACAAAGGGTCAAAAAAGAGGACTGTCCCGTATAATACAGGACGGATGGTAACCGTACTTATATAGCACATACATATGGATATATACATATGTATGTATGTCGAGTGCAGAGATATCTCTACTTTTGTGCAAAGTGTTACTCGCTAATTAACAAAACACTTTCCGACTCATAAGAAAGTTACTGCAAACAAAACCTATAAATATGTATGTATGGTTTAGACGCATTTAAATAATAAATATTACCTTTAGAAAATGTAAAAATGGGGAAAACTTAAATAAAAAAGACTGCATTAAAATATATACAAAAAAAAAACATTAAAGCTTCTGCCACTTTCCGTTCGTTACTAGCGCACAAGACACCATCAGCTGAAACCTAAAACTGGCACTGGGGCTTAGATTTTGAAGTGAAGTTGTTAATGCACTGCCGTAATTACTAAAACAACAAAATAAAATACATATGCATATGTATATGTACATGTTCATATAATCAATTATAGGCGACCAGGTAGACCGCCACGGCAAGACAAATAATGCAGGTATAAAAATATAGAAAGCAAATGATTGTTTTCATAGAGCAGCGAGTACGTAAACTATAAACGAGTATATTTTTAAGGCGTAGATATAAATATGTTTGTATGAAAGTGTATATGTAAGAATTCATGCATGTATGTTTATATGGGGATACGCATGGGTATCATACATACATACATACTATGTTTGTACGTCATACTTGCGAAGAATGCGGGGTGTGTGCTTACGATATTTTCCATGAGGTAAATTTTAAAGAGCACATATCTTTGAATTTTTTTATTATAAGATTCTAAATACACTGTATCACAAGTTTTAGTTTTCTTTTTGTTCTCCAGATGCCATTATCCAATTCCTATGTAGAATTAATCTGTGACTCCGAAAATCGAGTTAGTTTCTTTTTTGTGAATACGTTTTCGAGATATTTGCAATTTACCGTTATTCAGCTTAAAAAAAAAAGTGGTACCACTTATCACGTATCTCTTACTAAGCAATTGAACAATTGTAATACGAAATACGGCAAATGAAAGCCAATGAAACTCTCCATACGAACCTGCATACATATCTTTTCCATAGGGCTGATAGTTTCTGAGAAATTAATTAATAACTCCAGATTTTTCGTTTTTTTATGAGAAAAATAAAAAAAATCACACTTTAACAGGGGAAAAATAAAAAATAACGACTATTTTGTTTTTGTTTTTTTTTTGTTAACTAATTTCTCAGAAACTATCAGGCCTATCGAAAGGAGATGTACATATACATACATAGATGGCCGTGTTTATTGCAATTGTGAAATTGGTTCGTACGTGGTTAAGTGGAACCACTTTTTTTACAGCTGAATAACGGTAAATTGCAATAATCTCGAAAACGTATGCGTAGAAAAAAAAACTCGATTTCCGGAATCACCGAGCAATTCTACATAGGAATTGGATAGGGGCATCCATAGAACATTTTTGCTGTAAACCAGTGATATCAAAGATCAAAAGCAATTTAGTAATTTTTGATTTCAAATAATGTAGTTCAAATACATACATACATAGGTGGATTTAATTTTTGTTTGTCTTTGTTCTAAATGCAAAAATATCTACGTACAGTGAAAAAATTGCATAGTCAAATGATGGTTATGTTTTTACAAATGTACATATGTATGGCTGTATATATTTACATATGTACATACAAACATTTACATGTGCATATATGTACATGTATACCTGACCGTAAAATAAATAGATCTCTTTCATGTGCAAACCTTGCCCTGGATGGCTAGTTAATTTCTTTATTGACGACTCCATGCAAATTTTCGGGTTCTTTTGTTTACAATACCTGCAGCTGTTAATTCAATTCGCAATTCTTGATGAACTGCAGTTTATGGCATTGTGGAAAACTGCATTTCTAGCGCTCGCTTGCATACCAGTGTTGCCTCTTTGCTGAGGTATATTTGAAAATGGGGAATAACGACCTTTACTGCAAGAGTGTCATAATCCAAATAATTAAAAACTCGACAAAAAACGACTTTAAAGTTCACAGTTTACATATGTGTGTACGCACATACACATCGTCACCTGAAATGCAAAAAGACGTAACAAACATCGTCGCTGAAATACAAAAAGTCGTAACTAATAAAAAATTTCAAATTTAGTTTTTGATTCGTATGATGGATTTCATCGAATTACAACTCGCACATCATTTTATGAAAAAAAAATTTTAAAAAAATATTAGTCACGACTTTTTCCATTTCAGTTACGATGTTGTTACGTCTTTTTGCATTTCATTTGACGATATGCTCTAATGGCAAAAAGTAAGACACATTTTCTTCTAATTAGCTATTGTTAATCGAGACAGCTATGCCATTTTTGTACAATATAGAAGAGGTGGCGGTAATTTCTGCATACTTAACAAAAAAAAAGTTAATTTATTGTGACGCTCTTTCAGCAAAGAAAATCCATTTAAAACTATTTCAAGCAGAGCTTATTCAAGGTAGAAATCACATTTAGATTTAAAAATATTAGATTTTTCTTAGAAATTGTCCTCAAAAAAAGTGTGAACGACCTTTTTGTAATTTTTCTATTGTCAATTTGACAAGCCTGCCACACATAGCCCTTTGGTTACTTTCGTTACATTTATTCCTATACCAAATGCCAAGTTCCGAAGTTATGAGGTGTATCAAATGATTGGCCCAAAGTAAGGTCACTGAACTTTCTTCTTCCATGAAAAAATCAAACAAAAATAAAAAAACAAGTCAAGACATAAAAAATGGATTGCACTTTAATAAAAAGGTCAACTGCTGTTAAACGAAATTGAACAATTTTTAAGCAACAAAAAACGATTTATATTCTCATATATGTAAATGTTTAAGAGTACCGTTAATTTCTTTATGATCCAATAATCGGATCTAAACCAAATTTCCTTAAAAAAAATTAGAAATTGGTTTACGTCGTCCAAAGTTATGTAGTAACATAGTATGTATTTCGACGAATTGATAACCTCCTCCTTTTTTTGAAGTCGATTAATAAACAAATTAAACCTACACAGATTCTAAAAAATATAAAAAAACCAAGTAGTGGTTGAACTAACTCAGCTGCCGGTTCTCGAATATGTATCTATAAGTTTAACCTTTAAATTTAGGTTACCTAAAAACAACCAAATCTCAATAAGAAAAAGGTTTTGAAATGTGATTTTCATTCCAGACACCATGCCGAGTGTGGATTTTTTAATAAAACTAAAAAAATACTTTGGTTTTCACGCTTGCCCGATTATCTAGTTATCTGGTTATGTGGTAATATTTTTTATTCAGTTTACAACAATAAAATAAACTACAGAATAATACTTTTTAACCAGATAACCAGGCAAGTGTGAACCACCACACCGATTTATAAAATTATGGGCAAGATATATCGATATTTTTTGCTCTAAAAAGAGATGTTGAACGATTTTAGAGTAGCGTTGAGCCACAAAATTCCCCATTAACACGAAAAGCTTTGAAATACCTACTCGAAATCTTGGAAATTCCTTAGGAAAAATCTAAAGAAAATTATCGAAGTCAAGAGTCATTTGAAAAAATATACCTAGGAATTTTTTGCTCTTACTAAAAAAGTCCAATTGTAAGGTCATGATAAAAATATTTTCCGCATTGGTACGACTCGTTTTTCGCTGCCCTTTAATTAAAATAAAAATAAATTTTCAGTTTCTTAAATTTCTCTCCACATAACGTCTTACGCAATGGTATTCACTGTAATTTTATAAACCAAATTGATCGATAATTAACAGACCTCAATTCACAAAGACACTATGGAATTAGCACCAAAGTTGAATTCAAAAAGTATGGCAAAGTTTATGTGAAAAATGTGACCGCATGACCACAAAAAAATTAAAGTGCAAATTTTGTTTTCATACAAATTCATATTTACATATATATTTATTTACTACACATATGTCAAGAATCACCAGCGTCAAAAAATTAAGAGTGGGGAAATCTGCATGTGCTCTCCTCTCGCAAAATGAACTGAGCTATAAAGGGGAAGAGCATGAAAAGCAAACCACTTTCTGTAAGCAAGACATGTTTTGAGCATACTGTACATAGTGCCAGTACGTGTGTATGTCAAGCAGCAACTACACATTCATACATATAGCGTAATCAAATTTAAGATAATTTGGATTTTTGACTGTATATATATTTATGTATATGCATGTAAATATGAATCGGATGCACTTTATTTGACAAAAAAAAAAAATGTTGGTGAAAAGGCGTGAATTTTGACGTTACTTGGCAACACTAAGGTGATTCTCCTTACTACGATTTAAAAAAAAAGTTCGTTTACAGCACTATTAGTCCATAAAAAAGCATCTAGATTCTAGATCAGCAAGATTAAAATATGCAGCAGCGTTCATAAACAAAACGCCACCTTTTTACTTTCAAAAAAGTGGCCGGTAGCACAGGGAAAAAATTTGTACAAACACAAAGAAAGTCTACCAATCGTGTGTGCGTGTGAGATTCCCATTTCCTGGCATACATACATACATACCAAGATATATTTTGTTTTCGCGGGGTACGATACCGAAGCAAGAGAAACACTTGATAATGTGCGAGGATGAGAGTCGCCACAAAGTACATAGATCTGAGAGCGTTCTCAGAAATTTCCCCTCCTCTCACATTACATTTTTTTCTTTTCTGCAGCCATCAGCTTAGGTAAAAAAAAAGGTATATACATATATATGTACAAACAGACATACATATTTATAAATATGTATATAATTTGTACTTCAAGTGGAAGCTATTTTATAAAGTTGAATCATCAATTTTCATTATTTTTTTACTTTTCAGAGTTGACGCTATTCCAGTACGTTGTTTTCATTTAATTATGTAATTAGGTAGTATTATTTGTAGGTAGATATATAGTAGTGCCTTATATATTACTCAGATAAGGCATTTTATTTTCCTTTAAATGTGCTACGCTTTAACTTTCGACATGACAAATGTGTAATGAACAATTCAACAATTTCAACTTGAATGAAACGAGAATATCCCATCGAATTTTTCAGCTCATGTCTGCTGAATACACAATAGTGAGTGTTGCTTTTCGTTGGCAGTCGCGGGTAAAAATCGTGCCCTTTAACATATACATATATGTTTTTATGTATGCATATTTGCCAAAGTGAATCTGACATTTGACTGTTAAGTTCATTATGGCAGACAGTATGACGGTTAAACCTGATAATGAATTCTTATAGAATTCAACGCGATAAAGAACTTCTGATATTGAAAATATTAATTAATTCTTCATATTATTTTTATAAAGCTACGCAAAGTAGTTGAAAAAAATTTAAGAACTTTATTTCCAAGATATCAAAGATAAATTAAATATTTTTAAAATCTTAAATTTTCAAAAAAAATTTTAGAAAAAAAAACAAATTAAATACTAAAATTTAACTAACAGCTTAACGGTTATTCGCATATAGGGCGGCCATAGGCTCTCAAACTTGAACTCTAAACATTTAAGTATGGTGGAGAGTTGTAACCATGAAAAATTTGAAAAGATATGAAACTTTAGTAAACATTTAACTAAATAATAAGTGCGACGAAAGTAAATTCCGGAAAATTAAATTTTGTAAAAAACGAATTATTTAAAAAAAAACTGGTTAAAGGGAATCAAAATGTGATGTTTCTTAATTTTCGGTTATATAAATTTAAGCTATCTACAGTTCATAAAGAATTGTTAAGAAAAGAATGGAAATTCGAGATTTTAGTAAAAATTGCGACACTTTTTCTTCTACAATCGCCTGATAAAATGTTTATTGGATTCCAAAATATGAAAATTAGCGCCAAAGTCGTGCGTACTTCATTTTATATCATCGTTTCCCGCTTCCACTAAGACATCAACCTAAGGCTCAATTTTTCATGGAACTTTTGAGACAGAAAGTCCATATACCGAATACCTATTTCAGTGTCCAATGATGGGTATTCCGCTAGTTTGCTTCCTACTCGAATTACTAATGACTGTTACAATTCCCGCAGTCAAAATATATAAAAGATAAGAATTTTATTGAAAAAACCCCATCTCAGAATTTGGTTCTATTTCACTTAAAAATGTGCTGAGATGGGCGTTTTTAAATCGGCAGCTGAGATTGGGCGTTCTTCATAAAGTCATAAAGATTTTTAAATATATTTTATGCCAAACAAAATATAAGTTAATTATTAAAAAAAAATAGGCAAATCAGTATATTAAATAAAAAGTAAACATTACAATATTCATTCTGTAATCGGCAGACTTTTGCTACGTAGATCAGCTGTAAAATTTTACGATTTTCCAAAAGCCTCTAGAGAACACGAAGAATCAGCTGTTGAAAATAAATGTAGGGATGTTTTGAAAGAGAAAGTTAACTCACATTCGTCAGTTATCTAATAAAAAATTTCAGTACAATACATAAAAATTAACTTAAGTGCCAGTTATCAATCGGCTTATAATCAATCACCTAGCTGTAGCACTAGCTAACAGCACTACATTTTTAAATGTTTTAAATAAATTTTCGCTTACCAGCAACATTCAGTATTTTTTTAAATTTATAAAACAACTCTTCACTTTTTAACAAAACAAAAATGTAGTTTTGTGCAAATGTATCCGCAATTGTGCATTGTGCTCACAAAAGATTAGAATTTCAAAAAAAAAAAATCGTNCAACAGCCATTTTTCTCTGATTTCTGAAAATCGTACGAAGCGTTTTGGCAGCGAGGGAATGGAATTATGAGCAATGTGTTTGTGAGAGAGGGAAGGAGAACGAGAGAGCGTGAAAAGTAAATAGATATAAACGAGGGGAAATGAAAGTGACATGACGTCATCGATTTTATTTATCTATATACAATCATATTTATATATGTGTATATAGTTATATGTCTACCTTTTTAGGCCGTATGATGAGGGGAAACTACTGTTGTGAAAACATGGGCGGATTCCGTGATATGGACGGTCGATAATGGCTACGCGATACGATTTTCCAGACGATTTCTTAATATATGTAAGAAGTTTTGATTTGTAAATAAAATAATTTAGGTTTCATAAAAAATAATAAAATAACATAAGCAAGTTGTAATCAAATAAAATGTAATAATAAAATACATAAATGAGATAAAATTAACTGTAATGTAATAAATGTAAATATATATAATAATGTATATATGATATATATTTTATATGTTTATAGTTTATACTAAAGTTTATGTACGCAGGTATGAAAAAACAAGTTACTTCTACAGTTTCGGTGTTTCCATTCTCAAGTTTTTACAGCGTATTCCATAAAGTTTGACACCTATTCAGGTTGAAAAAAATAAAAATAAAACATGATGTTAATAAAAAAAAACTAAAATGCGATTTTTTAATGCAAACATTTTTTGATTTTAATCTATCTCACACTCTCATGGTAAAAATCAAACATGTTAATAAAAAAAAAAATAAAACGCGAATTTTTAATGCAAAAATTTTTTGATTTTAATCTATTTCACACTCTCATGGAAAGGCGAGGTAGTTACGCACATTTTGATATCTTAACTGATTTTCTCCGACAAAGAGTTTATTAACTGCAAACAATTGAAAAAAGATACTTCTCCGTGAGTTCAAATTTTTTTATCGAGATTTTCGAATATCATGACGAAATAAAATAATAGGTGTCTTCTTTTTTCCATAAAGAATGTAAAAAAATATATTTCACCAAAAAAAAAAAATATTGAGGTGTAACTATTGTATGGAATGACCCATATACATCCATATATGGAAAATAACAGCTATGTTTTCTTAGGCAACGATCGGAATCGGGATACAAATTTTGAAATATATTTCGACACAAAAATATTTACATATATCTACGCAGTATAAAAATAAAAAAAACATACTAAAACCTAAATCTTATAAATAAATCACATTTTCTTCATTGGTATTAATCTTTTTTTATACGAATATTTATGAAACTAAAAAAAAACAAGTTTTTCGAGAAAAAATCGAAAATGTTGTGTTCAACAACCCAAAGTTTGCCTAGAAATTTCTCTTTTGCAGAGGTCAATTTTTCATGTAAACAAGCGTTATTTTAATATGTTTTATTTTAATTGTATAAATATTGATTTAAAAAATATTAACAGCAACCAAATTAGCTTGGAACCAAAATTAGCTTTTTTTCTTGCCATCCATTATCCGGAGTACCTTAAAAAATTGAAAATACATATACTGGTTGAAGCTTCAAAATCAGCCTCATCTTCATGCAGTTATCAATCAATTAAAGACACTGCTTAAATTTTGATCCCGCCGTTAATTAAAAATATCGACTAAAATGCAAGACAAGGGCAGGACAATTGGAAAAATCCGTATATTTTAAGGATTTTCTGTTATGAATGTAATTTGATGGTTTTACACACGATAAAAACATTTAAAAATAAATAACATTTATACATTTTTTTTTATTATGGTTTGACCTAAACGTGCCAAACAACCCATCAAATTTCAGTTTTTGTTTTGGTTAAAGTTGAAGTAAAGCGTGGGAAAATTTTTCAGTCTCTTATTAATACTGTGGTAAATCACGACTGAGAGAATACAAAGGTTGCGCCGATCTCGGGCCGCTATTCCTCTCTTAACGAATTTGACAGAATCGTTGTTTGCATGACGTCACACCAGTGTTGCCAACTCGTGGGATTTCGCCAATAATTTGGGATTTTCGCACCATAAAAGGGCGCGTGGGATTTTGCGTCTCATTATGGGATTTTTAGATAAATACAATTTTATGTATCTGTTGTTTTTTTTATTTTTTATTTGATGTTAATTCCAACGCGACGGGTGGGACATTTAAACTTGTTTTTCCTCAAACTTTAAGTAATTTCTTTTTAACCCTTAATTCAGAATTTCAAACTGTTAACATCTTAATTCAAATATCAGTTTAACACGAAACTAATAAAGTAGAAAACTTAACTATATGATTTACACAGAAAATTTTCATTTTCCCCAAGAGTGACGGCTGAGACAACGACGACACCCACCTCTCTGAGTGGATGGATTCGTTTACCATTTCAGACAAACTTTACGTCAAATTATTTCTTGCATAGCGGCTTTCTCGAATGTAGTCATTACACTAAATTTGTTGGGGCTACAAAACTGTAACTGTTAAAGGTTTACACCCAAATTCATAAAAAATATAGAACATTTTAACTGCTTTATAAATCGAAAATTTGTATGAAAATGTCACTCTGTAAAGCGCTTTAAACCTATTTTATTCTATGAATAAGGCCATTAGATTCAAAAATACTGACATTTTTACGAAATTTCTTTTTAGATTTTCTAAATTTTGTATAAAGTGTGAATCTGTGATATGATTTCGGTTAAACCTCGGACGGTACTTTTATAGAAAAATACCAAAAAAAAATATCTCGACAAACCTTACGAATATTAAAAAAAAAATCAACACGTGGTCATTTATTTCAGTCACTGTATCTACTCTTTATATATATTGTTCTTAAAAACTTTGAATATTTAATATTCATAAATGGGATTTTCGAATTTTCAAAGGAGAATGGGATTTTCGTATCTTGGAGTTGGCAACACTGCGTCACACTTGTGCAACTTGTTTACGTTTTCCTTGCAACATGTTTTCTTCTTCTTCCATTCTTGCTCACGTTTTGGCATTTCTCTCTCGCGCAATTGCACCAGTGTGACGTCAAACAAAAGTTATTCTCAATAATCCTCTCTGATCGGCACAATCTTGTATGCTATCATTCTTGGGTAGATCCGTCAAGTAGTCAAGGATAATCGTAACTGACTTACTTAAGGTGTTCTTACACGATATGTATTTGCATCGGTAAAAATGTGAGCTTTTCAATACATACCTTAAAGGTGTTCTTACACGATATGTATTTGCATGTGTACATGCCACTTTTTACACATGGAAATGTCAACATATCGTGTAAAGGCAAATTAGATTTGTTTCTGTACAAAGCAGACAATGATTTGATGCGTGATAAAAAAATAGGAAAGTAAAACCGCTGAGAGGAATTTTTCAAATTCTTTACGTTTGCAAGCAATTTAATTTTGAAATTTTACACACAAACTCACCCACACATTCTCATTTTAAATCTCAAACAACAACAACTTCGAACAATTCCTTTTTTTTGCTCTCAATTTTATATGATTTTAAAATGTTGGCAAACTTCAAAAAAAATATCATGGCCGACGAATTGAGAGAACGGTTTTACCTTACTATGTTTTTATCATGATTTGATGTATGCAGACAATAATTTTTACGTCTTGTGCAAAAAGAAGAGAAATTCTTATCAAAAGAACTCAAATAACACAAGAGGCGCTGATGTGTGTTGTATCTTTGTCTCTTCTTTATTATTTTTTAGTTTTTAGCTTAAATACAACGTTCACGTCCGACATTTTGCTCAAAATGAAGTGTCATAACAATTGTCAGGACGCCTACGCTACGGAGATCAGCGTTTTTGATAATTGTCTAATGTAAACGCGACGTAACAATAGTCAGGCCAATTCTTAATACTCAGGGAGAATTTGTTCTCCGGGAATTTGTTACTCCCGAGAAATATTCCAATAATTAACCCCCAAGGAGTAGAATTTTCTGCGAATACTTGGGAGGAGGAAATTCGAACTTCGAAAAGGCTGTTTGACACTTTTTTGAGAGCTCAACGCCGCCATTTAATATAAAAAATCCTCAGGATAGTTTTATTCGTGATAGGAGGAAAGGGAAAGAGTTGTCTAAAGAGCGAAATACACAACAAAAGCGGCTTGACAAACCAAGCGAAATATCCCTCTGTTTCAATCCATTTGTGTTGTCTATGGGGGTGTTTGAAGGTTTGACAAACCGCTTGAGGGAAATTTGAGCAAAAATCAAAATTTTTTGATTTTCTGGCCGCCATGTTGACGTTTGATCAAACCGCTTGCGATGTGGATGGTAAAATCGCCTCATTTGTTGCTGAATTTTCACCAAGTGAGGACGTAAGGGAGAAAAATGGAAGAAAACCAACATTTTTAACATTGTGAACCGGAGGAAAACTAAAATTCTGTGCTTGAATGACTCATGTTTGCATGGTGTATGGCGAAATGGGAAAAGTAGGTTTGACAAGCCGCTTGTGTGGTGTATTTCGCTCTTAACTCTCTGGGAGTTTCTGTTCGAATTGGCATGAGTATCATACGGACATTAGAGAGCGAATTACGTGCCGTGGGAACGTAGTTTTAAGCTGCCTTTACACGAGTAGATTTTCTAGGCGATTTTTGTCGTGTTTTGGCTAGGCGATTTATCGGTCGACAGAAACCGACGCGTGTAAAGTCAGTTTAAGTGCGAATATGACGTTGCGAATCTGCAGAGAAAAAATTAAATTAAGAAACGAAGAAAGGCAGAAAAGAATAAAAAACAATGAACTGTCAAATCTAACTAAGAATATGCCGTATAATTGGGTAATTTACATAAACAATTGAGAAGCGAACAACGTATATCCGTGCCCGTAGTTAAAACCCCCATTGACTGTTGCAACGCTGCGCTTGCTAATTCAACCCTGTGGTAAACTAACGAGTTTCGACATTACTCGATATTTTAAGTTCATCTCAGGTGCTACTCGTCAGAGTCTGACGGAATTCATTGCAGTAAGAGCAGAGAATCCAATAAGAAAATATCAAAGTATTTTCGCAAAGCCGCGGATATTGTGCGTTTTTATATGGAAAACGATAAGTGAAATGCAAGGAATTTAAAACATTTCCATGCGATATTTGTAAAAAACTATCACAGTTACGGTATGCAAAAATATAAACGAGCGGTTGCGTACATGTGAAGTGCTAAATATCGTGTTAGCATAAAGTTTTAATTTACAGTGTCTACAGATGTCTACAGACTGTAAAAGCCCATATTTGGTGAAGTGAAGAAAAGCCATAATCGTGAAAATAACCTATGCGGCGGAAAATTGATGGAAAACAAGTTTTAATATTGTGCATAACTTGCAAAAGAAAAAAGAACCGGGCTTGTAGTAAAAAGAGGCTGAAGTTGGCAAACTATATTGAAAGCAAGAGAAAAAATTAGAAAAGTGTAAAGGCAAAAGTAATCTAAATCTTGAAAGATTTCAATTCTCAGCTTGTGGTTTTACTTTGGCATGCATATTTTACACGTTGCGTCGTTTTGGATAATAACTCAAAATTGAATTGAGCTACTTACGGTTGCATTACTTTTGAAGGGTTCTTAAAGGAGATTTTCGTTTGTTTGTTGAAAGTTCTCTAAATTTTAAGTGTAACTTCTGAGTGAGCTCCAAAAGCAATAAAGATATTTCCATGCATTTGTTCTAAATTTTGTTCATTGATGGTGATATACTTGTGCGCGCATTCGCTGCAACGCCGACGAATTGTTCACAATTAAATACAAGCTGGCTGATCAACTAGGCTGCACAAATATATTTACACGACAATTCCTAATTCATTCCGACAATTTGACGTGACCACCATCATAATATATAACAAATTAATACAACGTGCGCGTATTTAGCGATTTTCCCACAAAATCTTGCAAAGTGCTCCGCGAAGGACTGCATCGTTGCCTGGCCACTGGCTAAATTGCATAAAACTAAAGCAAAATAGTAACTAATTGGATTTGCAACAACTGCAGCCTGGTTACCCTTCCATTGGTTAGCTAAAGAAAGTTTCATATTAGCTACTTTGCGCTGTTAAAATACGCCAATACAAATTTGTTCAGTGTTTTTGCAGCTCGTGAAGTTTTGTTATTGTTTTATCAAACGTCGACGTCACATTCACTATAATGGCTGACTTTGATCTAAATGTGGATAGCCTCATACAGCGGCTACTTGAGCGTGAGTAATAAAATTATAAATTACATACATACCATAGCTGAAGAAATTGTTTTTAATTTTTATGTTCATAGTTATAATTTTGCAAAACTTAATTTTATTTCCTCTCCCTTCAAGTAAATCTATCCTTTGGTTATTTTTAACTTGTTTATTTACCTTTCAAAATATCGCTAATATGCGTGTGTGTGTGTGTGTGTGCTCGGTACTTGAGTGTGTTTTTTGAGTGCGTGTCAAATTTCTGCTTTCGGTTTGCTCACTTTTCTCGCCCTCCCTTCTGGGTGCTTCTCGCACAATTGTTTGGTTGTGTGTCTTGCATACCGGCTGACGATAACAGCCTACTCGATTGTTTTTTGATAAAACTAGGTAATTTTGTTTCGTGCGAATTTTACTTGCAATTCCTTCGTCCGCAATCATATTCTTAAATAAATTTCTATTAAAATCGCTCGTCTATTTATTAATACCAAGAGTGCCAGTTACTGTCGAAATACGACAGCTTTTCTAGTTTTTTGAAACCATTGGACTTCGCACTTCGTTTAACTTATAAGGTAGAAAGTAACTGATTGGAAAATCTCCGGGAAATGTTTAGTACCACTCACACCGTTTTTTGGGTGGGGGGCGGAGGGGGAGGGGGCGGGGCCCCCAAAACAACCCCCAATAGAAAGGAGACAGTCGCCGCTTTCTAAAAAGGGGAACCCCTCCCTTGGACTCCTCCCACAGGCACCTAGGGAACCGTTTGAAAAAGGGGAAAAAACGGATTTTTCTTAGGCAAACTGAGCAGTTTGAAGTGGAATATGACCCAACTAACAGAAACCGTGGGATTTTTTAATAAAAGAAATTATGCCAAATTAGATATGGGGGGATTTTGAATAAAGAATAAAAAGTTAATTAAAAATAGAAAAAAAAAGTTTTTATAAAAAAAATGTTCTTTTTAACAAATGTATTTTTGCGTAGAATTCCTTTCTACGTAAGCGGCCTTCGGCCGCACTTAGGGATTATAACCCTCAGGCAGTAGAATTCTCCTTTCTGTTTTGCGAAGAAAAGGAGCTGAACACCTTTTGCAGAGAACACCTTTGTATATTTTTAATGCTTACTGGGTTATATCCTATCTTCTTTTGTCTCTCATTCTTTTGCATATTTTGGAGTTTGACAGCTGAACTCCGCCATTTAATTTGCATATGCAACCAAAGTCAGACGCGTGATTTTGAAGGTGTTTTTATTTAATGAATTGTGATGAATTGGTTAATATTAAAGTCGTAAAGCAAGTTATAACAAATCAAGTAAAGTGTAAAGTGAAGGGGAATACAAAAATATATTGGTAAAGTGGCTAATTTAAGCAGAATAGGAGTGATAAATGTACGCTAATTTCCGAATTTTACAAAAAAGGGCATATTTCAAACCCAATTTGTAAATAAATTAGTAACCAAAATTTACAAAAGTGAGTGTTAAAATATTGCGTCGACCCTTGACTACAAGTGTGTGAAATTTTTTTTTGGATCGGGCCACCCATTTGGACGGAATAGCCCGAAATAGTTGTGAGCGGTACTAAACCCCACCCAAATCTCCTGCTTTGGAACTAAAACGTGACTAAAGTTTTTCTTTTATTTCTTTGAAGGTATTTTATTTAGAGGTCTTTGGCAGGACTTGGAATTGACTCGATACATTCCAGATTGTCGATAAATTTCGATAATTTGATACATATTGATAAATAAAAGAATTTCAATAACACTAAAATCCGATAACTGAGCAAATTGGGTCCGATAAATTTCTTAACAAAAAGATGTATTTGTATATCTCGATATAAATCGATAAACTTTGGATACCTCTATGACGCCCGATATCTCGGTTAATTTTGATAGCTCCATATTTCTCGAAAGCTATTGACAAATTTCCAGTGACACGATAAAATTCGATAGGCAGTATCTAATAACTCGATAAACTTACCGATAACTCGATATATTTTGAAAAAACCAAACGCTACGGTTAGATAAATCGACCAATTTCAGTTAATCAATAAATATCGATAGCTCGATAATAAATATTGATGACTATGGCTGTCGACAGTTCAGCAAATATCGATAACCTGATACATTTCATTAACTTGACAAATTTCGATAGTCACATTAGTTTTTATAGCCGGACAACCATGCGTTTCTATAAATTTTGTTAACTCAATAAACATTGATAAATTTGAATGACTCGATACGTTGCGAAAACTTAATAAGAATGAAAAACTCAATAAATTTCGGTGACTGTAAATTTGGAGGATCCGATAAATTTCGGTAACTTAATAAATTTCGATAACTAAATTTTTTTGACTGAATTTACATATCTCGATTCCATTCGAAAAATTTCAATAAAATATCTTATCATTTCAGGTACCCTAATGTATTTCTCATTCTTTACATTTTCATCTTTATCTTTAACTTCACCTTTTTCTTGATCGTATTTATCATTTATTTCTTCATCGTCGTATTTATCTTTACGCACATATAATATCGCGGGCAGCGATTCAGGTTACATTTTCCTGGAAATTGAAATGTACATTTCGACTGCTGAGTGGAAGATCGACCTATCTCGGCAGCCAGTTCGAAAACGCCCTATCTCAAAAAAACTTTTCAATAACGCCCTATTTTAGATTTTTATTGAAAAACGCCCTATCTTACTTAAAAATGTTTTGAAAATGTGCTGATACAGGGCGTTTTTGAATCGGCAGCTGAGATAGAGCGTTTTTGAAACAAATTTTGAAATAGGGCGTTCGTGAAAAGTTTTTTGAGATAGGGCGTTTTCGAACTGGCTGCCGAGATAGGTCGATCTTCCACTCAGCAGTCGAT